TCATATAAACCATTTTCAATAGTGTTCGTTCTTGGGATAAAAGAACAGTGATCTTTAAAATCTTAAAGATTTACATAGACGGACAGAACCTACTGGTATGCTTTACGGTCGGTAGTCTGCCAATATCCTCATTTATTACAAACATTAGCACAAATTTATAATCCGATAAAAATATTTCAGGCTTGTACATAACATATTCGTCGTCAGAAATAGAACAAACTTGCGTATATGAAAATGTGCACAATCATTGCGTATGACTAAATTCGTTGTACGTCAATTTAATCGTAGAGACTTGCAAAAATATAATTTTAGTTCTTTTATTTTACATTTTCCAATTTCGAACATACAAATTTTAAAACGAATTCGCATTACGTATAATTTAATTGTATTCCATTCGACGATTTTACGCAACGAATTTTTGACGACTAGTCATTGCATTTGCAAATGGTTAAGTATATTTTTACAACACACTAACAAAATATACAGAAATGCTCTTGCTACGGTTTATATGATATACTACACATAATTACGTAGTTTTTATTTACTCAAAATTTTGCAACACTAACTGACAGCTCAAAAAAATAAAATATTAAAATAAAAAACTATTAAAAATATAAATCTATGTCATCTTCTAGAAGCACCGGACATAGAGGTAAGAACGGATTTAAATAAAAAAGCAGCAAATGCCATGTATTTGCTTTTTTGCAATCAGGTTTGTAAATAGAAACAGAAAAAATCGTTCACAATTAGTAGCAAATATTTACAATTGCAAAAAACACCAGATTGTGAATTAAGCTAATATATTTTTTTGTTTTCGTTTTATAATTTAATTTAAATAAATAATTTGTTTTTTTTTAAGTTTTGTGGTTTTATTTATGTATACAACTTAGTTACCTCCACGAAAGTATTAAAAATTTCATAGAATTTTTTGACATTTTAAAATCAATTTTAGAATTGTTTAGCATTATTTTGGGTACGATTAAGCTGCAAAAAATTTTGAGACATGGTCAACACTGTTTTGAATGGTATTCTTTGATTTTCTCTTTCTCTCCGTCTCTCTTCTCACACTCATACCTACACAAACTACTCATTCCCTCCACCAGTCTGATCCTAATGAGGGAGCGCTATATTTGCAGGTCGAATTTGTTTTGTTTTTATGCGATTAGAGTGACAATATCATTTACGAATAATACGACTTTTAGTATTAAGGTACCCGTCCGTTAAACACCAGTGTAATACCGCTACGCGATTGTAAACAATCATTATAACTTTTTAAATACGTGTAACGTAATTACGTACATACTCACATTTGTATGTACGAATCTGAATATCAAGTACTAGTAATTTATTTTTATTAGGGTAAACCCGTTTGTATATACCAGGAAAACAGTCGATGTTCCCAAATAAATTTAAGAATATATTCTATAGGTCGTGAGTGTTTCTGTAAAGTTTTGTTCTTGGCCGATATATCGCACCATTGTTTTTAATTGCATTGTGATACAAAAGTGAAGAAACTAGATAAAGGGTTCTCATATGCGAATATACATTTAGTTTTTCCTGATCACTTCGCAAACTTATTTTCTAAGAGCAAAAAAGTTAAAAGGCGCTTTTTTAAAGTTTTATATTATATTTTATTTTTTAAGTTTTTTAAATAGTTTCATATTTTGTAAAATTAATTGAAAGCTTCTGATGGAAATTAAATTTCTTTAAATTTAATTTCAGTTAAAAAATTAGACGTGATTAAATTTACTAGAAATATTTTTTTTATATAGACATATATACATACATACATACGTATGTATGTGAATGGAACATCATTTGAAGTTATTAGTGTGGTATCTCATATAAAAAAATAAAACGTAAGCTTTATTTTAAGTATTGTACATGGACATCGTTTCACGGGTTACCTTAATACACATGCATACATATATTAATATACATACATATAAAACTTTTTTTAAATACATTTAAATGAACTTTTATTTACTCGTACCAATGTTTATTATAAATAAACCTTGTTTAATAATAATCTTAAAACGAATATAACAAGTGTTTTTTAATCTTTAATTTTTGATATACATACATATATATATTATAAAAATATACTGATAGCATATTTTTAGTGTTTTACTGCATAATGCGCTTAAAAAAACTTTTTTAGAGCATTTTTTTTCGCTGGTTATAAACAATACTTTTAACTAAGAAAAACATACTTTTTTGGTTGCAATGATTTTAAATTTTTTTCACCACTTCTTTTTTGGATAATCTCAGAAATAGAAGAATTATTGATAGAATAATTTGCCAAAAATATTGGGGTCCTCTTTTCGATTTCAACAAACTTACGGGTATGTCCCTATGTGCCTGTCATTTACAAGTGTTTTCTTTTTTCGCCAAAATAAACCGCGAATTAGTTATGCCCCTAATGTACAAACTTATTAATATAAAATGTATATAATATTTTATTTATGAGGAATTCCATTTTAAATTTAAAAAATGTTTTACAAAGTCACCGATTTGGACAAAATTTTGTGAGAACTTCACGATCTCAAAAAACATCAAATTTCTTCGTGAAATATCGAGGATAATATCACTTTATAATCCTACACTTAAACATAATATTTATAATTAAACAATTTATATTTTATAAATAAAAAAAAATGTATTCTTTGACATTTCATTTTAATTAAAAATGAAAAAAATATAACAGCCTGTTTTTCTAAAACATTTTAGTTCTCACACGAACATTTACAGCTTGTTTTTCTAAAATGAAAATTTGTCTTCGTTCTTAAAAATAACGAACGAAATTGGCTTTACGTTTTTGTAACGAAAAAATAAATGTTCATGTGAGTGACAACGAAAGAGCTTTATTTTTCCATATATTTTTGGTTTTTAGAAAATGAATTCGTTTGTAATAAACGAAAGAAATGTCAGAAATAGACGATAGGCAAAGGCCTTTCGTTTGCCCAAAAAACAACGAAAATTTTACCAAAATACGTAATATATGTGGCCATTTGAACCAGAATGTAATTCGCAATACAAACCTTTAAAATTCTTGAGACATTGCATACAATTTTCATGTTGTTTTTAAAAAAAACATTTTTTCATAATTTCAATTTTTTTCTAAAATTATTTTATTTTTGTTTATTTTTTAGGGTTAACACCAAACACCTTATTACTACATGAAAAAATATTTAAAAATTCAGAAATGAAATACGTAGGCAATAATGTTCTGTTACGATAGAAAAAGCTCATTTCATTTTAGACATTTTTAAACGAAAACTTTCAAATGTTTTATAAAAACCTAATTTTAAACTTGATCGTAATAAAATGAAATGTTCGTGTGAGAACTAAATTGTTTTAGAAAAACAGGCTGTTAATTTTATTACGATCAAGTTTAAAATTAAAAAAAATTAATTATAAAACATATTAACAGCTTGTTTTTCTAAAATGAAAATTTGTCTTCGTTCTTAAAAATAACGAACGAAATTGGCTTTACGTTTTTGTAACGAAAAAATTACAGCCTGTTTTTCTAAAACAATTTAGTTCTCACACGAACATATAATTTTATTACGATCAAGTTTAAAATTAGGTTTTTATAAAACATTTGAAAGTTTTCGTTTAAAAATGTCTAAAATGAAATGAGCTTTTTCTATCGTAACAGAACATTATTGCCTACGTATTTCATTTCTGAATTTTTAAATATTTTTTCATGTAGTAATAAGGTGTTTGGTGTTAACCCTAAAAAATAAACAAAAATAAAATAATTTTAGAAAAAAATTGAAATTATGAAAAAATGTTTTTTTAAAAACAACATGAAAATTGTATGCAATGTCTCAAGAAATTTAAAGGTTTGTATTGCGAATTACATTCTAGTTCAAATGGCCACATATTATTACGTATTTTGGTAAAATTTTCGTTGTTTTTTGGGCAAACGAAAGGTCTTTGCCTATCGTCTATTTCTGACATTTCTTTCGTTTATTACGAACGAATTCATTTTCTAAAAACCAAAAATATATGGAAAAATAAAGCTCTTTCGTTGTCACTCACATGAAAATTTATTTTTTCGTTACAAAAACGTAAAGCCAATTTCGTTCGTTATTTTTAAGAACGAAGACAAATTTTCATTTTAGAAAAACAAGCTGTTAATTTTCATGTGAGTGGCAACGAAAGAGCTTTATTTTTCCATATATTTTTGGTTTTTAGAAAATGAATTCGTTTGTAATAAACGAAAGAAATGTCAGAAATAGACGATAGGCAAAGGCCTTTCGTTTGCCCAAAAAACAACGAAAATGTTACCAAAATACGTAATATATGTGGCCATTTGAACCAGAATGTAATTCGCAATACAAACCTTTAAAATTCTTGAGACATTGCATACAATTTTCATGTTGTTTTTAAAAAAACATTTTTTCATAATTTCAATTTTTTTCTAAAATTATTTTATTTTTGTTTATTTTTTAGGGTTAACACCAAACACCTTATTGCTACATGAAAAAATATTTAAAAATTTAGAAATGAAATACGTAGGCAATAATGTTCTGTTACGATAGAAAAAGCTCATTTCATTTTAGACATTTTTAAACGAAAACTTTCAAATGTTTTATAAAAACCTAATTTTAAACTTGATCGTAATAAAATGAAATGTTCGTGTGAGAACTAAATTGTTTTAGAAAAACAGGCTGTAATTATAAATCATTTGAAAGTTTTCGTTTAAAAATGTCTAAAATGAAGTGAGCTTTTTCTATCGTAACAGAACATTATTGCCTACGTATTTCATTTCTGAAATTTTAAAAATTTTTTCATGTAGTAACAAGGTGTTTGGTGTTAACCCTAAAAAATAAACAAAAATAAAATAATTTTACAAAAAAAATTTAAATTATGAAAAAATGTTTTTTTTTTTAAACAACATGAAAATTGTATGCAATGTCTCAAGAAATTGAAAGGTTTCTATTGCAAATTGCATTCAGGTTCAAGCGGCCACATATTATTTCGTATTTTGGTATAATTTTCGTTGTTTTTTTGGCAAACGAAAGGCCTTTGCCTATCGTCAATTTCTGACATTTCTTTCTTTTATTACGAACGAATTCATTTTCTTAAAACCAAAAATAGTTGTGTTTTGTTGCTAACGGTCAAAGGCAATTTCATATAAATTTAAAATTTATAAACGTTAGGAGTTAACGTGTAAAATTATACAAGTTAATTTTAACTTCGATAAAAGTGCTACCAATTCAAAAATAAAAATACAAATATGAATGTGTGGCTGTCAAATAATACAAAAATATTTTAAAATAAAATTTAAATTACAAAAAATTAACAAATGAACAAACATTTTCAAGATATTGTAAATAATTTTAGGATTTAGCTGAATTTGTCTGTGAGATGATGCCAAGTCAGGTAATGATCGTTTTGTTGGTAACTTTGAGCGTACACATTCAATAATAGCAACAAAACACAGCAAATATATGGAAAAATAAAGCTCTTTCGTTGCCACTCACATGAAAATTAATTTTTTCGTTACAAAAACGTAAAGCCAATTTCGTTCATTATTTTTAAGAACGAATACAAATAAGCTAAAATCCTAGACAACCTCTGGAAATTTCATCGTAAAAAGAGATTGTGCCTGATTGTATGTGAGTACGTTGTCTTTATAATATGTTTTAAGATAAAAGATTATTAAACTAATACATATTTTCATTCACTAGTTAATGAAATTCTATTAGTAACACACAAAATAACGTACCAAAAATACATTTGTTATTTAGTACTTTTTGAACAACTGCACAGTGGAAAATTTTATTGATTTCCGTATCGAAAATGGTTTTTGCAAAGTTGGGAAAAATGTATATTTCCGTAGCTGAGATAAAGTACTACACTAATATACATAGATAAAGTTTTTTAACGCATCGATTATAAGTACAAAAAAAAAAGTTTGAAATTAGGCATTTTTACATTATGTAGATATTGAAAAGTGTTTTGAAGCTCAAAGTTGAATGCAATATTTTTATGGATGTTATATAGCATCACATATTATAAACAATACATATGTGAAATTCTGCTGCGATTAACGATAAAAATAAACAAATCTAACTTAACCTAAAAATATTTTTTTTACAAACAACAATGCAAATGTAATTGAATTTTATGAAAATTTTATACATTACATGTGAAAATATATTGACGGATTTTACTTTAAATCCTATATATTTATTCAATTTATTGACGATTGAGTGATATTCATATACAATAGTTTCTGCTTAATTGTTCCCCGCATTATTGATTTACCCACTTATTTGGTCCGGAATAAATGCAATAAAAATATCTCATATAAGATATA